TCTGGCTGGTACACAAGAAGCCGTTCTCTCGCCTCCCACGGGTCCTCTGGCCACGGGTCCTCTGGCTGTCACGGAAGCATGCCCTCGGTTGCCTCCTCTGGCGCGCGCCCCCTTCAACCGGCGGGGTCGGCGGATATAATGACCGGCCTGAAATGTTGTGTAGAAAAACTCGCAGCCATGCAAGAGAGGAACCTTCATGCCCTACCTCAACGTTGCACTCGTTGGCAAAAACGACACATCTGCAGTGAAGGATTTCTTCCAATCTGCGACAGACAGGCAGGCACCCAGCATGAGACGGGTCTCGTTTCTCACGTTTCTCTCAGACTCGTGCGCTGAACACGGTTCAGTTCCATGCAAGTGGTGGAAGTTAATCAATGTTTGATGATTTGAACACTTCATGATCAGACACCATGGCCGAGAGGACGGGAGAACAAAACAAGCCACCTTGGCCTCAACCGGCCTGGACCATCCGTTTGGTTGTCCTGGATCTAGGATAGTAGTGTAAGAGGGACGTGGAGGGTAGTGCAGCCAGGGCACCTGACAGGATGCTCCTGCTGCCACAACAACAGTTCTTGCCGACTAAATTGTTTGGGGTCTATGTTGGTATATATGTTTTTGGGATTCCACGGGCGTTTATACACAAACAACGCGCGATTATTGGGAACTAGAGGCATGTTTTCCGACCATATTTTTTTTTCAACGGATGTTTTTTTGGTTGCGGATGCTTATTTGGTTCACAAACCTAAAGGTATGTTCAACTACTGATCTTTAAACAACAACAATCAGTGTTGCAGGTACACTGTATGTTTTAGCAAGACATCACCACTCAAAAACCACTCAAAACAAAAAACAACAAACTAATATATAGAACAAATAGGTTCAACACCGGCAATTGAACAACTGATTCCTGCCACTCCCGAGGGGGCGCACCCGAAACTTCATGTGTTCCACATCGGAAGCGGGCCAAGGTTCGTGTTAGCCTCCTCGGACTTCATAGAGGCGGTGTCATGAGTGGGGTCGTCGCATCGGGAGAAAAACAACAGGTCTGTATTGAGAATAACCCAGACACCGTTAATGGGACTGGGATATATATGCCGCCCCGACCACGAAAATCAATCACTGGCCGGAAATCTACCAGAC